CAATTAAGTATTACAAAGTCTTAATTTGAAGATTATACAATCAAATTAGATAGACCTAATTAAGTATTGTAGAAACCCAATAAAAAATATTTAAAAGTTATTACAATCAAATTAGGTAGACCCAGTTAAGTATTGTAGAATCCCAATAAAAAATATTTAAAAGTTATTACAATCAAATTATTAGGCAGTTCCAATTAAGGAATTAAGCGAAATTGGATTAAAAAGTGGATATTTTATTTCTTTATTACAAAAGGAATTAAGCAAAATTGGTAAGATATAAAAATGAACATATGAAAATGAAAAGTTACCCATAAGCAGAATTGGTAAGTTAAAATGGAACATATGAAAATTATCAAAAGTTAGCCATAAGCTATCAAAAGTTACCCATAGTGTTTAAAACTATATAAACCATCTCTCTAAAAAGGTTGTATATTCCAGCGGTGTGTGCAAGAGATGTACCATAGTGCAAAATCTTTTAAATGATCGTAGGTTTGATGAAGGAAACCGTAATTTGATTCAATTTTATGTATTTGTTAATTTAGGGCCTGTTCACATTTACTGAACTGAGCTGAACTGAACTGATTGGAGCTAGACTGAACTGAACTGAACTGAACTTATTGGAGCTGGACTGAACTGAACTGAACTGATTGGAGCTGAACTGAACTGAACTGAGCTGAAATGAATATTTTATGAGAGAAGGAAATTAGGAGCTGAACTGAACTGAACTGATTGGAGCTGAATTGAAATTAAGTAAATGTGAATAGGCCTTTAGATTTCAATTGTAGATGCCGGATGACATTTTATTAATGAATTGATTTGTTTATATATATATATATATATATATATATATATATATATATATATATATATATATATATATATATATATATATATATATATATATATATATATATTATATCATCATACCCTAACACAATGAGAATGTCCAATCATATTATTTGACACTCCAAACCAAAAAAAGGTTTATGCATGAAAACTGTATAATGTCTTTACTGTTAATTTAAATTTTGGGTACGTCCAAAATTAAATAAGGGATATCTAAAATCAAAATTTATGTATGCTATGGGTTGTGTGTTTTATTCTACGCATGATTAATCCGTTGCAAACAATAAGACTAATAGAAATTGTTAGGATTCTCATCGTGTGTATGAATTTTGAAAATTATTCTTCGATTATAGGCAAACTAATCTATAGTCTTTTATATTGGGACTAACTAGTAGACGTTTTGGACCGCCTAGTTGTGTTTTTTGTTACGCACTATGTACATTTGAGTATATATTTTAGCAAATTCAATTCCTAAATCAAGATAATTAAGATGGTTGCTAAACAAAGATTGTTATGTGATAGGCAATGTATTGGCCAAGCTAACCAACTCTTCTTAGCATTTAAATACGGTTTTTCTAGTTTAATAAGGAATGTGATTAAGATAAATAGCTAATGAAACCTTGGTTAGATATAGTGACAGATAGTCAAGAGTAATGAAAATGGATATGTTTATCCGAAAAAACCTAATACTTTTGTATTTTCTTTTAAAAAAAATTGAACTACTTTGTGTTAGGTATGCCTAAATATAACTTAGGTATACCCAAAATAGGAAATAATTTATCCACCGTGTTCTATTTTTAATCAAGTCTTATTTTTATCAATCTTTCTGATTGACTAATAAAATTCAAAATTTAGGTACGCCCAAAACTAAAAAAGCTAAGGCATATATAAAAGCGAAATTTATGTATGCTTTATGAGGCAGTCCCAACAAGTGTTTTGTAGTCTCAATCAAGAATATTTGAAGGTTATTACAATCAAATTAGGTGGTTCCAATTAAGTATTACAAAGTCCTAATAATCAATATTTGAAGGTTATTACAATCAAATTAGGCAATCTCAATTAAATATTATATAGTCTCAAAATCTCTCAACAAAGAATTTTTAAAGGTTATTACGATCAAGTTAGACAATCTCATTAAGTATTATGTAGTGTTGATCAAGAATATATGAAGGTTACAATCAAATTAGCTAGGCAGACCCAATTAAATATTACAGAGTTTCAATTAATATAGTACATATGCGATTATAATTACAATCAAATTAGGGTGTCATTGTTGGTAAATATTAGTTGGGATTATTATTTAAACTTTGAATCCAACATTCATTTAATCAACAAGGGTGACATTGTTGGTAAAAATGATAAAAATGCAATTTATTAAGATCAATCCTCTCATTCATCTTTACCCTAACAAGGTAGGGATACCCACTCATGATCCGAGACCACGCTATTAACAAGAATTTAAAAATACGATATCACTTTTTAACACTTTTGATGATTTAAAAAGAAGTAATGAACGATTAACAAATTCCAAAATATATACATGCACATAAATAAATTAATTATCCCAACTAATAATTATCGTATATTTCTGAATGGACAACAAATATGTAAATCACCACTTGATATTTCACTTATACTACTCCCTCCGTTTCTTTATAAGAGTCATCTTTCTAACATTAACTAGCCTTTTGACCCGTTCGATGCACGGGTTATTACTTAGGTTATTTTTCTTGAAAAGTGTTAGTGTTGTTGTGGAATTTTGTTAGATATATATACACAGATATTGTAGGGCATGAAATGACACATTAGTTTAAGTTATATTTAAGTTTAGGAGATGAAAAGCCTATTTTATTGTTAATGTAATGAACACAAATTAGTTTAACTTTAATTTATCATATTGAATATGACACACTTAATTTTCTTATTTAAATTTGTAAGTTTTAGAGACTCAAACATTATTTATACATTTTGTTTTTATATTAAAATGAAAATTTAAAAAGAAAGGATTAAGAGAGGTGACATGTGGCTTAGAATAGATTTGTGGTTTGTGTTTTTAAATACTAAAGTATAGAGTATAGATAGATATAGATTACTCACATAATAAAGAGAAAGAGAACTCCAATAAAGAGAAAGAGAGTAATTTTTATGAAATTATTATTTGACATTTTTCTTTTGACACAAAATTATTATTTAACATTTTTGTATCTTTTAAATGTTAAATACAAAAAATTAGCAAAAAAAAAAATATAGTTTTTTTTAAAAAAAAATTTTTTACAGGAAAAAAAATATAGCTTAAATTTAGAATTTTGTAATATTTTAACACATTACTTTTGGCGAAGATAATTAATTAAGTATAGAATTAGTAAAACAAAACAAATATCACCATGTTTTTTTAGGAAACTAGCACACGTTACAATTTTATTTTTTTTTTGTTTTTTGTTTTGGTAAATAATTGTATTTTTATTTCTTTTGGCCAAATGAAGTTTTTTCTTACTTGAGATAATTAAGGATCTTTCAAAAAAAAAAAAAAAGGGAAAGTAGGAAGCTATCAAAAAAAAATTTAGCCTACTAATAATTTCCTTTACTCATTGGTTATTTATATAATATATATATAAAATAATTAAGGCATTAATCTAGCCTACTAACTAGGAAACAAATTATCCCTACTTCCTTCCCTAGGCTACAAACTAGGAGCTAGATATACAGATTACTAAACTAATACGAAGTATATTTTACAAATATATCTTAACAATATTGACATTTACTTAACCACATCACATAGATATTAAATATTGTAAAATATATCTTAACAATATTGACAACCACTGAACCACATCACATGGATATTAAATATTCTCCATTATCTATATACACACACAAAAAAAAAAAAAAAAAAAAAAAAAAAGTCCTCTCCAAATTAACGTCAATCAAGAAACAATAATGCAAATAAGTTTTTAGTTATTTTGTTTATTTTAATTCATTTTCAACATAAAATCACATACCCAAGTTTCAACATTCAAAACAATGGCGGATGATTATTCATGAATTCATATAACCGATCTAAATTAAATAAAAATTCATTCCAATTCTAACAATTAATCCCGAAAGATATAATTCGTAATTTTTCTTTCGAATTTTTTATACAGATAGTTAAATTGATACAAACTTTGAAATACAAAAGTTAAAGCATAAATGTGATGATTAAACATTAATCTTATTGATTCCATACCTAATTTGATAATTTTTGAATAAAAAATGATGATTGGAGGTTGAAGATGGAGTTCATTAAAATAGATAAAAAAAAATTAGGTGCGCCATTGAAAATAAATGAAGCTATCAAAATACGGATGAAGTTATACAAATGAATTTTGTATCATTTATTTTGGACGATATTCTTAAATTTTATAACTTTGAATGATTATTTACAGATTATAATATTATAACTTGGGGAAAAAAAATTTACCCTCTAAAAGTAATGAACCAAACAACCCTTTGCTGATTAGGCGCTGACTAGTCGCTGACTTCTCATGACTTAAATGACGTGTAATTTAGATTTTTTAAATTTTAAAAAAAAAATATTTGAAGGCTAAGATTAAGTAATAAAAAATATCAACGGTTCAGATTCATAGTCGTCCGTAGTCGTCCGTAGTCGACAACTACGGTAGAACCATCCTATTCATATATAGATTTATACACATCAACGTGTATTTTTTTAAATATATATATGTAATTTTCATAATTTTTATTGCAGAACTAAAGACATAATCTTACAATAAACAATAATCCCCGTCAAAAAAAAAAATCACAAATAATAATATACTCTGTCTTTAGTTCTGCAAAATAAGGTCTTATTATTAATTAGATTTATACACATCAATGTGTATATTTTAAATATATATGTCCCTCAGTATAATGAAATAAAATATACTCTGTAATAAAGTATGATTTGAACTTATTTTTTCTTATAACTTATTTTGTTCTTATATGAACCGCAAATAAGTACAGATGCTTAAATAGTGAAAACTAAACATTGCTTTAGTTAGAGTTATTTATTTATTTTATTTTATTTTTAAAGGGGCATTAATTGGATCAACTCTTTATTCATTCTTTTGGAGGCAATATTGTGGCTACTATAATTGACTTGAAATTGACTAGGTGTAGACATTGCCTATAAAATGTCACTCCCTCAACCTCAGTCCATTCAACAAGGAAGAACTGTATTTGAGCATCTTCCTTCGTTCTACTAGTGTTTTTTTTTTTTTGAAGGATCATTCTACTCCACATAATTTTATTAGGGAGAACAACTAACATTAAATATCTTGATTTAATTTCTTCTTCTAGTTGTAACACATTATACAATTTTAATTTATTTTTATGGAGTTGACAACAATGGACATGCTTCAAATTTTCCACATGAACAAAGGCCAAGGAGAAGAAAGTTATGCAAAGAATTGTACTGTTCAGGTAATTATATACACGCACCATTTTAACTGTTTTACCATTCATATATGAGTAATACCCTATATATATGTCAAATAAAATTCATTTTCTTTCCTCAAAAAAAAAAAAAAGTCATTTCTTAATTGCAATTTGTTTTATCTCTATGAATATATTTGCAATTTTTTTTTTACTATTCAATAGCTACAATAAAATTGTACGAGTAGCTATTGTAATTAGTTTTAATGTTCAATCTTGTCTATTCATTCAATTGACTTTAATTTTTATTTTTTTTTCTTGATTACGAAGAAAAAAATTGTTGTACAGTTTCCAAAGCAAAATTTATGAACCCTGCCATTGATGCATATTCTTGAAATTTCTTAGCTCAAATGATTCTCCCATCTCAATTAAAAATCAACATTTGATTATAGTTTATAAACAATATAAACCTAATTACCGCATTATATATTACAACTTTACAAGGCCCATAATTAATTTTGCATTAAATTTATCAAAAAATGAATCATCCTCCATTAAAGAAAACCAGAAAAAGGGAGGAAAAAAAGAAGAAGATGATACTATTTAAAAAAAATGTGAAATTTGTCTATAATTTTCAAGAAACCAATAAATTGATATTAAAGATGAAAAAAGTGAAAACATCAAGTAAGATAAATTAGAAATTTCATCCTTCTTTCACCAAAATTTCTAGTATTAAAAAAGTTGATTTTTTTTTGTTTTTGTTTTTGTTGATAATCGTATTTTAAAGTCAACTAAATGGATGGATATGATGAATTTTATTAATCAGAGGGTTGTGATTCACTCAGTTACAATGGTCACAATTTTATTACAGCCATTTGAAAACTGTCTTTTTTATAACGGAGTAATATTTAAAATTTGTTTTCTTGATAAATATAGGTGTCAAAATGAATAATATAGTAATTGTTAAAAATATAACGATGTAATCATGTAAATAACAAGTAAAAAGGAGCCAATAAGGTCACCTCTTGACCTAGTGGTTAGGAATGAAAATATGTGTACGATAGATCAGCTTCATGTCTCCCATTCGTTGAAAAGGTTATTTTTTTATTGGGTTTGTAGAAAAGTCTTTAATTAACTAATTTTTTTATTTTTACTTTCAGAACAAGATATTATCCCTAACAAAATCATTTGTTGAAGAAGCCATACAAGGCTACTTAAGCAATGAATTACCAGAGACCATGGTCATCGCCGACCTCGGTTGTTCATCAGGCCCAACGGCCCTAGGGGCGGTGTCGGAGATAATCAACATGGTTAATGCAAGATCCCGGAAGATGGAGGGACATTCATCATCACCCAAGTTTATGGTGTTTTTGAATGACTTACCAGGAAATGACTTCAATGGGGTGTTTGGATCACTCAATAATTTTCAAAACAAGTTGAAAGAAGAAAAAGGCGGTGAATTCGAGCCGTGTTCATGTTTTGTAGCTGGTCTTCCTGGAAGTTTTTATGGAAGGTTGCTTCCAAACAAGACTTTGCACTTTGTCCACTCTTCTTCTAGCTTGCATTGGCTCTCTCAGGTTAGACTGTTTCTAGTTAATATTTGACACACTATCATTTATAAAATACTTCGTTTCGAAATAATTAATTGATATCTTATTCTCTTTTGTCTATTTTAAAATTAATTGACACGTACGTTATCATAAATGTAAGAGATTGATCTCCATTATTGAACTATATTTATCATATTTACCATAGCTCATTAATAAGTTTATGTCACCTTTTAAATATTACAATATTTCGTACGGAGTATAGATTAAATCTAATAACTTTACTTTACATTAAACAATTTAATTTTATGGTTTCCTACCTTATCATTTTCTTAAACTACGTGTCGAATAAAACATGTTAATTATTTTGAAGTGGAAGGAATAGTTACTTATGGAGTATTGTGCATATGAAAAGTATAATAATGCTAAAGATTTAGTTTAGATGAAAATAATAAGAATTAGAGTTTTTTTTTTTAAAAAAAAAAAAAAATATAAGGAAAGAATTAGAGATAATTTTAGATATATACGGAGTAATTGAAAAGAAAATAACGGTATAATAGTTTTGTATCGGAATGAAAATTTGTTAAAATTAAAGAAAAAACTATACATAGCTTAATAAACAAATTTGAATAATCGTGACTACCTGTCAACATCATCATAAACTCATAAGTCATCTATCTATCTATCTATCTATCTATATATATATATATATATATATATATATATATATATATATATATATATATATATATATATATATATATATATATATATATATATATATATATATATATATATATATAGTAGTATATATAATCGTATATATTTTTGTTCCATGAAAAAAACCCAAAACATCGATTATTAAAAAAGAAAAAAGAAAAATTAAAAAAAAAAACGTTGCATAAAATAACCACACCAACAACATTATCCTTACAAATCTTACAAAGTTAGGAACGTGAATTATGAATTACATGTATATTTGCTTTTTTCTCCACTCCAACAATTCGCTATCAAATTTGGAAGTGTCCCTATTCATGTATCGTACTAGTAATTACTCCGTAATACTAATGCCCGTCTATCAACTGTTGATATACATATGTTTTGTAATTTGTATTCACAATTGTTGTTGGACCACCCACGACAAACACACAACATTCACAATTATTAAAAATATTGATGTACTTATTCAGTTATTCATCAATAGCCATTCGAAACCTATCTTAAAAGGTATCTTCTATCAAAATTTGTATCCATTCAAAGTCGTCACTTTATTATCTTTGATACCTATGTTTTTACCCCCACAAAATAATAAAAAATTAAATTAAATTAAATAATAAAATAAACCCCAAGAAACCTATGTATGGACTATGGAGTACGAATTGAAATTTAAATTTAAAGCATGTTCACATTTACTGAATTGAGCTGAACTGAATTGAAATGAACTGATTGAAGCTGAACTGAACTGATTGGAGTTAAACTGAACTGAACTGAGCTGAAATGATTATTTTATAAGAGAGAGAAATTAAATTAAAAGATGAACTGAACTGAACTGAACTGATTGGAGCTGAACTAAACTGAAATTAAATAAATGTGAACAGGCCTTTAAACTTGGTACATAACATCTAATATTTTCTTTAATTTGTTAACTAATTATAAGCACCATCTCTTTTGAAGATTAATTTTTATTGATGAATATAAGTAATTTACATAGTAATACAAGTTGGGGCCTTAGGGCCTGTTCTCATTGACTGAACTTAGCTGAACTGAAATGAACTGAGCTGAACTGAGTTGAACTGAATTGAACTAAACTGAAATGAATATTTTATAAGAGAAGGAAATTAGGAGCTGAACTGAACTGAGCTGAGGTGAACTGAACTAAACTGAACTGAATTTTAACGTAAGAGAACAGACCCTTAGGGTATATATAAGACAATGACGCGACACTAAGTTTAATTGATATTTTATATTATATGTACTCCTTTATTTAAGATTATGCTCCATCTAATTGGGAACCTATGATAATAATAATAATTATTATTATTATTATTATTAATTTTTTTTTTTTAAAAAAAAAACTCTGTATATCTGCTTGTGTGACAGATTAATCGACCGTGTATAATTACTAATATAAAAACTAATATAGAAAACTGTATTTGTATAGTCATATACATATACTAATATTAAATACTTATATGCAGCTCATATATAGCATAGTCATGTATCATCTATTGAAAATCGATTTAATTTAATTTGCAGGTTCCAGCGGGTTTGGATGACAAAGATAACGCAAAGATGCTAAACAAAGGAAAGATATACATGTCAATGACCAGCCCAAATGAAGTGATAAATGCATATAAATTACAATTTAGAAAAGATTTCCTTTCATTTTTGAAATGTCGTGCAGAAGAAGTGATTTCAGGGGGGCGTATGGTGTTAACATTTATGGGTAGGAGGTCCAATGATTCTACTTCTGAATATAATAATTTCTATCCTTGGGAGTTGATTGCCAGGAGCTTTAACAGCATGGTTTCTGAGGTTAGTTTTTATAGGTTTTGCTTACCACTTACGTACGACATTTAAGTATGAATAGAACATATCTGGTAGTATTTAGAATGGACGACAAAATCATACATCTCAGGATCACCTGAAATCGAGAGTGGAACTCTAACTATCATAAAAACTTAATTATAGTTCAGTGATTTATTGTTAATATACTCGTATTTAATTAGTATTAATTTACTCCATAACAATTCTATAAATGTTAGCATTTTTTTCTATATTGCCAAAAAAAAATAAAAAAATAAATAGTTGAAACCAAAAATTAAAATGATTAACTCACTATAATGAGTCTAAATGGTTATTGAAGATTTAAAAACTTCACATGCATTAATAAACATGTGGATGCAAGTTAATTCAATTAGACCCTATTATGCTCAAATTATTTTAAATTATTTCAACAAAATTATTTACAAGCATATGGTTAAACATAACATATTACAACAATTTTAGATAATTTCATAGAAGAGTTCACTGTTCACACAATTTCTTCTAGAGATAAAATAGAATAAATAAACTTAGGACAAAATGAGTGTAATAGAACAAACCCTGGTCTTATTTAGCTTAAGTTTCAAATCTCACCAATTTTTGTTATTTTGTACATAATTATGAATTGTTCTACATATTATTGTAAATAAATACTAACAAGTACAACATGCACGTATGATGAACTAATGTAGGGATTGATTGAAGAGGATAAAGTGGATAATTTCAATGTGCCATATTATGCACCATGCCTAGAAGAAGTTAAACAATTAGTAGAAGAAGAATCATCATTTTTCGGGCATCGTTTCGAAGCTGTTGAAGTGGAATGGGATGGAGACGTAAAACTGATCAACAACAACCAGTCTGATGAACATAGTTTATGCAAGGCGGCGCTCGCCAAGGGTGAAAGAGTAGCCAAGATACATAGAGCTGTGGTTGAGTCTATGTTGGAGCATTACTTTGGGAAAAATATTATGGATGATCTTTTTCAAAGGCATATCAAGATTTTGGAAGATCACTTTATTAATAACCGTAATTCCACAATGATTAGTTTAGTTGTTTCCTTAATTAGAAATTAATTAGCTTTACCTTACATGCTTAGAAGGTTACCTCTTACGTACATAGCTAGTATTTTAGTTCTTTCCTTGGATTGCAAGTTAATTTAAACTTCATTTGTGCGGCTTAAGATTTGCTAATTTTTGTTCTTGTAATAGTATTTTTAAATTGAATGTGTTGCTATGAAATGTTTAATAAATTAGCCATTTAATGATATTCAATCTCTAATTTGGTTGAAGATTTCGATATATGGAGTATATTGTTAAATTTATCAAGTATAGCAAAAAAAAAAAGTATAATTATGTACGTGACATATACACCAGTTTGTACGGTGAACATCTTAAAAAGATGATAAGTCTAATTTTTCAAAAAAAAAGTTGGTCCAGGCATGACCCAGACCATGTGAAGCCGTACCTTATATTAGGTAAAGCAGGGCTTATTAGAAATGATGATGCTTACAATCCATTCTTGAATTCCTAACAAATAGTACTGTTACTTATTCTGTATTGCTTTTCTTCACATCTGAATTGAAATTAATCAGTGACTAGTAATTAATTGAACAAAAGCAAAGAATTGATATAAAGAAGCAATCAATTATTCAATTTTAGTAGCCCACTAACTGTAGTGGAGAACATTAAACAGCAATATGCAGGCCAAGATCACAACACCCATCATCTCCCTTAATTAACGTGGCCTTCCTTCCATCGTTAAATTGCACCACCTTTTAATTAAAACTATATCATAACTTTAATATAATCAAATATCATATTAAATTTAAATTTAATTGCATATATGTCTATGAGTGATCAAGAATAACAAAGCATAACTTCCAAATAATCAAATAACTATTTCATATTAGAGCAAATTATTATTAGAAGAATTATGGATTTGGGATTCTACCTATTTGTTCTCATTTTATTGCTAATTGGTTATTTGATGAAAAAGTTGTGGTTAATTAATCATAATGATGGTAAAAATGGAGAATTAAGTATAAATTTTCCACCTGGAAGTAGAGGATTACTCCCTTATATTGGAGAAACCTTACACTTCATTGCAGCAATTTATAGCAAACAAGGTTTTTATAGCTTTGTTGAAGCTCGCCATCTAAGGTATACTTCAAAACTCTACAATTACTTTTTATTAAATGGAAATAGTCATCTAAAAAATGCACACGCGTACCTATTTGGCCTGATTATAAATCGTGAATGTATTTATTATTTTATATTCAATTTTATTTTTCCTCGAGTAGGTATGGTAATTGTTTTAAAACGCACATATTTGGGGAGACGCATGTGTTTGTGGCAAGCACAGAATCAGCCAAGGAAATATTAAGCAATGATTTGGGAAAATTTACAAAGAAGTATATTAGGTCAATTGGAGAAGTAATTGGGTCAGAAAGCCTACTTTGTGCATCACATCAAACTCACAAGCTAATTCGAAGACATCTTCTTGACTTGTTTAACTCAAATTCGATTGCTGATTTCACCAAGCAATTTGATCAATTGGTTGTAGATTCTCTCAACTCTTGGAAAAATACAGGAAATGTGATCATACTTGATCAAGCACTTAAGGTATGATCAAATCATTGACTATTCTTTTTGTACAACATCTATATATCTTAGAATATAATATAAGAATCACTTTGGCCTATTTGAAATCAAATTTAAGAAGCTATTTTTTTATTAACTTCAAGATTTATCTATATTACTTTTTATGGAATAAACTTTGAAAACTTATGGAATATTTATACATAAATTGCTTTTGAGTATGCCCTAGACATGACGTAAATGAAACTTTGAATCAAGTCTTTCATATATGCTTTCGAATTTTAGTTATGATAAATGTACAATGTATACCAATAATAATTTTGATTCGAATATAATATATGTTGATGAATTCGAATTTGTTATAATCATATTCGTTGTATAAATTTGGCTCGTGCACAATTTAATGCATAAAGTTATTCTTTTGTATAATCTCATACTCAAAAAATGAATTTTGGCTACACGTGCTTTAAATATGTTTTATTCAGCTGATTTTCATTTATCTGAACATATCAGACCTTATTAAAATTTATTTTACTTGTAATTTGAACTATGGATATATAACCTTTATCAGAACTTCTTTTCATCAAACTCACCTTCACAAAACTTATAAAACCTTAAATAAATTAAAATAAGGTGAACAAAATATGAGAACACTTTGTAACTTAGTATTGAAACTCTGAAGTTAGTCAAGTATTTTATGCACTAAACCAATATGATGCAAGACTACTTGAAAATTGTCAATACTAAGTGATTTACATTTGGTGTAGTTATGAACATACAATTATTTATAATTGAACATTTAATTAAGGAACATTATTATAGATGAAAAATGTATAAAATTTATAATTTTGTACTTGTTAATGAAATTTTTTGAAGGTAGCACTCACTCCTTATTGTAATTGTAAGAATCATTTCCATGAAAACTACAACATAGCACACACTCTTATTGAAATTCCTTATTAAATTTGTTAAAATAACTAATTCATGATATAATTGGGTGCTTTAATTAGTAGTATAAAAATGAACTTTTAAGTATATGCACATATTCATTTTAAAATTAATGCATTTACTTGTTGATCATGAATAAGAACGAAAATGAACATTTATCAATACGTAAATTAACATTTATATATATTGAAAATGAACATTTATCAATACGTAAATTAACATTTATCATCTATTAAAATGTGAATGACGTTATACTAACATATAAATGAACATTTAACCAAATGAAAATGAACATTTATAAAAATAATAATAATAATAATAATAATAAAAATAACTGCGAACTATAATCTTTGTTTCTCTTCTCTGAAACGGTTTCCTTCGCTCTGCAACAAAACTGAAGAATGTACGGATATAATTTATTAGTTCTTCAATAAAAATTGCTAAGATTATAGTATAATACTTACATTGATTTACATTACTATATATGTAAATGAACATTATGAATTTCATATATGATCAAAAGATTTCATAGTATGCATAAGTCAGTTTCTCAACTCACATGAATGAATATTTATGCATTTCATAAATGTGCATAACGTATCATAAAAATGAACATTTTTTATGCTGGCATATAAAGTCAAATATAAACTCAAATAGATTCAAATATACAAATGAACATTTATAATTCAGTATATGTTCATATATTACCTCGGAATTGTAGAAATGTTAACATCTATACCATAAGTTTTAATATCTTTTAAAAGTTCTTGATCTACAATAGGAGATTTTTACAATGACTATGTAGTAATATATAAATAAATATTTGTATTAATCATTTATTAACATGTGAATGATTGTATACTAATATATAAATGAACATTTATCAAAATGAAAATGAACATTTATAAATTTTTTTTTAAAAAAAAAAAACCACTACGAACTAATTTAATTAATGCTTACTTTTCTCCAGATTTTTTTTTATGTTCTTCTCCGAAGCTATTTCCTTCATACTGCAATAAAAAAATGAAATACTTCATACTCAAAATTCAAAATGTACTTGTTCAAATTACTAGTTTTAAAACTAAAAATAGTAAATGTTCCTGTAACATAATTGCAACAATAAATTATAAAAATTAGGGTTTATACTCTTTTTCGAATTAAATATGAACAAAATCACTTACTCCTTTGAATTTCGACCTTGATTTGTTGAAGTATGTAGTAGTTGAACAACTTTTTTGGATAATTTGTCGCAAAGTTTGTTGAAAATTTTGGATTAGAAAAGGCTGAAATTGGGTGTAGAGAGAGAAAATGCAGAAAATGGGTGAGGATAGAGAAAGTGAAAAAAGATAAATGGTGGTTTGATTTTTACTGTACAAGTGCAGAAAGTGGGTATATGAGGGAGATTGTTAAACACATCGTTTAGAGGGGGGGTGTAGGGTGTGGTACCTACACTAGGGTCTAGTGTATACCAATTAAAGACTACTTGCTACTTGGGCTTAAATTTTTCAAATTTTAATCTTTTTTGAACATTGGGCTTATTAAGTGGGCCAGGTCTACCCAAAGTCAGATGTTAAATAATTGGGCCATTAGTCTAAGATTAACAAATAATGAAAACTAATGGGCTTGGTCTATGAATTTGGCAGATAACCTTCAAGGCAATGTGTAAAATGCTACTAAGTTTAGAAGATGGAAGTGAGCTATCTATGCTACAAAAGGATGTTGCTTGTGTTTGTCATGGAATGCTTGCATTTCCTTTGAATTTACCCTGGACTACTTTCAGCAAAGGTCTTAAGGTAAACTTTCTTAACCTTTGTAGCAGCTTATTATTAACCCCGGTCCTCGGCCCTTAAACCCTCTCCTAGGCCCTTGCTCCCCTCGGTAGCTAGGCTCTATTCAAGGGCAAGCCCCTAGTCCACGGTATGAAATTGAGATAAATTGCAAATGTAGGCAAGGAAAAGAATTATGAACTTGCTAGAGAAGATGATTCAAGAGAGAAGAGCAAGACATTCAACACAAATTCCATATGGTCATGATAATAAAGATTTTCTACAATACTTGCTTCTAGGAAAAAATCGCGAACCATGCTCTTCTGACTCAGAGCCAAGCTTAACTGATGCACAAATCAAAGATAACATCTTAACCATGATAATTGCAGGTAATTCTAAAATAAGTGAAATAATCTTATTGGAATTATATACTTGTCTTTATTATCTTAAGCAAATCATGGATTAGTAAGAAATTATACATCTAATGATGTGTACATAATTAATAATGTAGGTCAGGACACCACAGCAAGCGCGATGACATGGATGGTGAAATACTTGGATGAAAATCAAGGAGTACTCAAAGTGGTAGAGGTATACACAATCTTACTATATGTATGATGGATTATGCTTGAATTAAATAACTTAAATAGCTATGAAATTTACCTTGTAATATTGTAAATGTACAGCAAACCATAATTTTTTATTTATGTTATAATTTAAAATATCTTTATTTTAACAGGATGAAATACTCAGCTTACATAAGAGAGTTGCAAACAAATCCTCCCTTACATTAGAAGATCTAAATGAGATGACATATACTGCCAAAGTACTATTCTGCCCCCATTTCTTAGCTGTTTAAAATAGTCCGATATTTCTTTTTGAGATGTCCTTAAAAATTGTCTCGTTTTAAATATGACTACAAAAAAATTTGTGATAAGGACTTTTATTAATTAATGAATTGTATAATAATTCAGGTAGTAAAAGAAAGCTTGAGGATGGCATCCATTGTACCATGGTTCCCAAGAGTTGCACTCCGCGACTACAACATCTTAGGTTAGTCTGCCTTAAATTAAGCACATACATAATATATACACACGTTATAATTTACTACCCTCAACATTAGCTTACTTGATACAGGATATACAATCAAGAAAGGATGGAATGTTAACGTCGATGCTAGAGCTATACACTTTGATCCTACGTTACATAAAGATCCTTGTAAATTCATTCCATCTAGGTTTGATGTAAGATTTCCTTTCAACATTCACTTGTGTACTCTCTTATACTCAGCTTTCAATCAGTTTTTACAAACACCGAAAAAGGTGTATGTACGTGCCTTGATACGTACAACAACTGAGTCATTTGTGATTTTTATTACGCAGAATGAACCAAAACCATACACTTTCTTAGCTTTTGGCGCTGGAGGAAGAACATGTCTAAGCATGAATTTAGCCAGAACAATGATGCTTGTGTTCATTTACCGGTTAATCACCACTTACAAGTAAGTCCTCCTAGCAAGAATTGGAAATTTTACTTTTTTTTTTTTTTTAAACCATTGGAAATTTTACTTGTGTAACGTTAATTTTTTTACTAACAAATTGATTAGTGAATCGACTTAATGATACATTTTAAACGTGTTTTATCTTTTATGCAATTCTTAGGTGGGAGGTGACTGATCCAGACTCGAGTGTGGAAAATTGGGCACTATTTTCGAGGTTAAAAAGCGGTTGTCCAATCCAAATTACACAAATTAACAATAAAACTAAATTTAAGGATAAATAAAAGATTACATTAACACCCTTGTACAATGTATTTGTATACATTTAAAAATTTTACAGTATGAACTATTAACATGTACAATAATCTATTGTACACATTTGAAAATTGTTAAGATAATGAAACAACGTTTCGAATGGGCTCTTACCCTGTTAAGATCCAGAATTGGTGGAACATGGGCCTGCTCTCTGGTCTAGACAGTTTGTAAAGTTGGGCCATTGTTACTTCAACTAAAAATTAGTTTCTAACTTTATACTTTCTCTGTTCTTTATTATTTGACCCGCTTTGACTTTTACACTATTTATCACCCCTCTTTTGACTGTCTTTTGTGAATAATATGTAATGAAAAATATATTCATGTAAGATCTTTTTGGATTCGTCTTAATAAGTACTATCATAATATATAATTTTTACTTATAGAGAATTTAAGTAATTGATTGTTAAAGTTTCGCATTGACAAGCGTGATAAAAGAAACAGGTCAAGTAAAAAAGAACATAGAAAGTATATACTTCGTACATAGTATTTGTTTTATGTTACTTTTATGGTTTTTTTGGCATGAAACTATGATGCATATGTAAATAGGTTCCTTTATTTACTACTCCGTACTTCGTAGCTTAATAGTTATCAATTAATCTCCAATTACAAATTACAACTTACAAATGAAGTTTACAGACATTGAGAGTTATGTTGCACTAACATGTTAATTAAAGTCTGTTCTCTTCAACTTATTTTCAGTTTAGTTCACTTCAACTCCAATCAGTTCAGTTCTTAATTTCCTTCTCTCATAAAATATTGAGTTCAGTTCAATTCACTTCACCTCCAATCAGTTCAGTTCAATAAATCAAAACAGGGCTTTAGTCTAATGCATTCAAAAGCAACTGCGATCTTTTTTTTCAAAAGTGACAATATCAAACTCAATACTTATTTAGTTTTAGGGCACATGATGCGAGCACGAAATGAACTCGATCCCAAATCAATTTAGTGATTTAGTCCATATATCTTATCATCTAAAATTACAAACTTGAATTTGACACAAAATAGATATGATTTATATTATACAAACGTTGAAAAAATTGCCAACTTTATTCACTAATTATATCAACCCTATGCAATATGCATTCCATCAAGGGCATAACTTATCTTTACAAGTTACACGTGTAAACGAATAATCAAAATTATGAAGCATGATTAATTAAAAAATATTGTTAGAGCAGATTTAAGATTGAGTTTGGTGTCCATTATCCAGCAACTACACAGCTACTAAATTTCCTCATATACAAGTAATGTAGTAGCTAAATATGTACAGAAAAAGGTAGGTCGATGTACTAATTAATTAATGCATTACATTGTAATTGTGTATATTAGGGTCTTCTAAATGTTGGATAATTAGTAGACTTTAGGCTTAAACTGAATTTAATATCATAATATAACAACAATTAGCAACATCTTTTCTTCACTTGCTAGGAATCAGGAAGCAGATTTGTAGGTAACTATTAAAATAAAGTTTAAATTTTGTCTAATTTGAATGTTATGCATGACAGCTAACTAATGTGTTTGGATAAAAGGGTCTTAAATAAAAGTGTTAGTTTCTTGCTTTTTCTTAATTGTATATTATGGAAAAGTTGTAATTATGCAAAAAAATCAACATATCTATAAGCTAATTTAAGACTTGTATATTTGACCTTTTTCACCAAACTCAATTGTAAATTATGCCAAAATTAATTTATTAGTAGTATCAAGTTTGTAATTTAGCTAGTCTATCTAACTTTCAGTAGTGACATTATTAGTAGATTTTTCATAAGTATAATATAAAGGCTACCATGCCTAAAGCCTATAGCGAGGTGAAAATTCGTCCATTGACAACATAAATTAGCAATTCTACCTCTGGATAATAAATCTCGTCTCTCACATTTATTACGAAATAGTTTATAAAGAATTTAGTATTGTTAAAAAATATATCGCAATATGATTTATTATCCAGAGAAGAAGTATAACTAATTGTTATAAACGGAACTGCGGGAACAAAAACAGTAAGAACAAAGTTACCGAAAATTAGACTGAGTCGCGGACTATGTCGCTTTCTTTAGAACATTCACGGCACTGCCCTGAAAATGTGCAAGCAGTTCGTACTAAACCGGATGTTCCCCAGGATAAAACAGCCTTTCTCTATTGTAATTATACCGGTGGAACTGCACAAAACCACCGGGCAACTAAACACCAAAAAGAAAAGAAACTGCTCGAGGGTTTTGTTTTTGTGAGGAAAAATAGAGAGGAGAAGAAGATTGCTTTCTGTATTTTTTTTGTGTATCAAAAACAGGAAATCAACACGCCTTTTATAGGCAAAATTGCAACGTAACTGCTGCTGTTTAATTAGGCACTAATCACGCAATTAAAACGGTCATAAGTTGAACGTTCAAAACGGCTACAGAAGATTAATGCGTGGCAAAACGTTTAGCAAAAATCAAGGAACTAATCACGCAATTAGCCTTGTCCAAAAAATAAGTTTATTTAATAAACCCGACCCGGCCCGGCTCGGCACGCGTGTGTGATAAATGGTTTACCATATAGGTCCTCCCTCTCCACAAAATGTGGGTAGCCCAAGGACCACACCCCTTTAGCCCACTCTCTATATTATAAAGAGAGTAAAACTCTCATTTCCCACCAATGTGGGACTTTGAGTTTTTTCACAAAATTCACACACTACACACTTGTTGTTCCAACACTAATAACTAAAGGTATTGAGCATTACATAGTGTAAATTGAAAAATTATGGTACAGCCGTACAGGTAGATTTCATTGCCCCTTCCAATGATTGAAGCTGGAAATGAGTTGTATCGTACATGATGGTGCATGGCCTGTCCATTTGAACATATCCAATTTGATACAGACAATTGTTTGATATTATTTCAAAACATAATTGATCTAGGTAAAAATAATACTACGTAATAATGATTAACACGCAAGATCTTATTAGATTTAGCACGTAAGTACAATATATCCGATACCATAATGGTTTGTACTTTTAAAAATATTTAAATAAACTGAGTAGAACAAAGTTTAACACTCTAATCACATTCTAGAGGAAACATAAACAATCATTAGAGAAATTCACTTAAAGAAAAGTAAAAGTACCATAGGAAAATCTAATAAGTAAAAAACAAAGACAAGAACATAAAATTCAAACAACCAAATTAAAATACTAGATTTCTTGACACTTGTAATGTAAATTGGATAGTTCCTTTCCTAAAATATAAGGGCCAAGTACCTAAAAAATAAGGGCACGATCTATTAATTAATTTAATTAAATAAATAATTTAAATATCCTTTTATAGACTCTAGGGAAGGTTCACTCTGCTTTTTCCCCTGTTTTTATCGTTTAAAACAATATTTAAAAACAAACCAAAATGCCAACTCTTTCTCTTTGTGATTAATTATCAAAATTATGGATCATATGATTGTTCAAAAGGGTAGTGTAACAACCACCACACCCACAAATATTGGTAGCAAATTACAACTTTGGATAAGCATTACACCCTACATGCATATTTTTACAAATATACTTGTAATTATTAAACTATATAATATAAAGTATTAAAGTTCATTATGATTCCAATTGGACGGTCCACATTTTTTGTTTACTAATTTTTTTTGGTAAAGTGCACGAGTTCATAGTTTGATTGTCTGACATGTGTACTTTGAACAAACAGTTTACCCAATTGGTTTGTTTATGTTTGGTATCTTAGAAATGGTCCTCTTACTTGTACCATCAGGGTATATAGTTCAGTTCTTTAATTAAGTTTGATTTAATTTTATGCTAATGAATATTTTTGTACTGTTGGCCTATTGTTGTACAAAAAATCACAAACCACCTTCTATCTAATTTTTGAGGGTTTTTTTTAAGAGGGTGATTGATCATGGTCGACTATATAACTTGGATATAGAAATACTGTAGTACTCCATATCAAATATCAAAACTAATACATTAATAGTTGGTTGTAACAAAAAACAAGTAGTAATTAATGGAACACAAAATAATTATTATTTGAAAGTAGCGCCTATTTGGATCGTTTGTTGTTAGGTCTTAGCTTCTCAATATATTTAATGTGAGGCAGAATCTAGCTTGGATGTGGCAATCAAAGGTCATTACATAGGCCGGGATATATAAGGTGGTGAATCATTTTATGCCTTAGCTTTGGATTCTTAAGATCATACACGATTATACTATCAATTAGTTTTATGTGATAAATAATTTAACAAAACTGATTTATAATGGGGTTGAGTCATGCAATAAAAGTTAAAACTGTGTAATATATATAGAGTAGTAATGCAATTCATTGTTGTAAATTTCTTGCATTAAACTTGCATGAATTGAATCTTGATAAACTAAATCTTATCCAAACTTAATTTTCAGCTTTAGCTAGTCCTTCAAATATCCAACAATGTTAAATCTTAAATAAATTTAAAAATTATTTCATACTATAGTTTGTCACTCTTTACTCTACTCTACTAAGTACTTGTTTGGTTGACAAATTGCAATGTCAACTAAACGAGGTCTAAGATTAGTAAGATTTTATGGTGAAAGGAAAGAAGTATTAGGACTCAACTCACAATTTGACAAATATCTTTTGACAATAATTTTCAAAAATAAAATAAAATCAGAAGTTGACACCACCAGGCACCAGTCCACCAGATCATAAACTATAGGGTTGAGTTTCTCAATTCTTTTCAAAAGAATAAATTAAAGCTACAGCACTAATAAATTAGGTTTAGTATTCTTATTAAAATTAATTTAGGGCCTGTTCATATTTACTGAACTGAGCTGAACTGAACTGAACTTATTGGAACTGAACTGAACTGAACTAAGCTGAAATGAATATTTTATGAGAGAGGGAAATTAAGAGCTGAACTGAACTGAACTGAACTGATTGAAGTTGAACTGAACTGAACTGATTGGAGCTGAACTGAACTGAACTGAAAATAAGTAAATATGAACAGGCCCTTAATATCAAGCATTTAGGGGCAAAAAACAAGAGGAAGAATCTATACGTCTAGTCAGGAAAAAAAAAAGTTGTTTCCCTTCTTTTTATTTTACTATGTTTAATCATCCACTAATTTTAAAGAATTACTTCTATTTTAATTAAATTATATTTTAAAAAAGTATATATTGAAGAAAAAAAAGGTCTATTTATTGGTGTGCATTAAATGAAAATAAAAAAGAAATTAAAAGAATAATCTAAAAGACAAAGTGGGGT